TATGACTTTTTATGCCTTACTATACTATGTCGTTTTTATGACTTTTTATGCCTTACTATACTATGTCGTTTTCATGGCTTTTTATGCCTCACTATACTATGACGTTTTTATGCCTTACTATACTATGACTTTTTATGCCTTACTATACTATGATGTTTTTATGACTTTTTATGCCTTATTATACTATGTCGTTTTTATGACTTTTTATGCCTTACTATACTATGTCGTTTTTATGACTTTTTATGCCTCACTATAATATGACGTTTTTATGACTTTTTATCTCTTACTATACTATGTCGGTTTTTTTTTACTTTTTATGCCTTACTATACTATGCCGTTTTTATGACGTTTTAAGCCTTACTATACTATGTCGTTTTCATGACTTTTTATGCCTCACTATACTATGTCGTTTTTATGAGTTTTTATACCTTACTATACTATGACTTTTTATACTTTACTATACTATGACGTTTTTAAGACTTTTTATGCCTTACTATAATTACTTTTTGTGCCTCACTATACTATGTCGTTTTAATGACTTTTTATGCCTCACTATACTATGACTTTTTATGACTTCTTATGCCTTATTATACTATGACTTTTTATGCCTTACTATACTATGACATTTTTATGACTTTTTATGCCTTACTATACTATGACGTTTTTATGACTTTTTATGCCTTACTATATTATGTTGTTTTTATGACTTTATATGCCTTACTATACTATGTCGTTTTTATGACTTTTTATGCCTCACTATAATATGACGTTTTTATGACTTTTTATGCCTTACTATACTATGTCGTTTTTTTTTTACTTTTTATGCCTTACTATACTATGCCGTTTTTATGACTTTTTAAGCCTTACTATACTATGTCGTTTTCATGACTTTTTATGCCTCACTATACTATGTCGTTTTTATGACTTTTTATGCCTTACTATACTATGTCGTTTTTATGACTTTTTATGCCTCACTATAATATGACGTTTTTATGACTTTTTATNATTATACTATGACTTTTTATGCCTTACTATACTATGTTGTTTTTATGACTTTTTATGCCTCACTATACTATCTCTCTCTCAAATTGAATCGAAGGCAACTGGACTTGTATTTGTCTGTGTTTGTCTGTGGAAGTCCGCACTAGTCTGACGAGGTCAGACTAGAGAGACCAATACATGATGAACTGATGAAGCCGCTTGGATAAGAGGCGAAACGTCTTCCACAGACAAATACAAGTCCAGTTGCCTTCGATTCAATTTGAGAGAGAGATAACTATGACCTGGACGAATGAGAACATTCACAGACA